CCGGGCCAGATGAAGAGATCTTGATGACAATCCTTTATCCAACTTATCTAAATATTTAAGAAATATCTGGACCCCACAAAGCAAGAAAGGATGTTAAAAAACAATATATACACATTAATATTGGTGGAATGCAGCTAAGGTAATGTTGAGTAGAAAATGCAAAGCCTTAAATGCTTTTATTAGAAGATTTAAAATTGAAGAGGCGGCTTGGTGCCTGTGGCTCAAGCGGCTAAGGCACCAGCCATATACACCTAAATTGGTGGGTTCGAATCCAGCCTGGGCCCACTGAACAACAATGATGGCTACAATCAAAAAATAGCTGGGCGTTGCCGTGGGTGCCTGTGGTCCCAGCTACCTGGGAGGCGGAGGCAGGACAATCGCTTGAGCCCAGGAGTTGGAAGTTGCTGTGAGCTGTGATGCCACAGTACTCTACCCAGGGGAATAGCTTGCGGCTCCATCTCAAAAAATAAATAAATAAATAAAATTGAAGAGGCAAGCAACTTAAAAAGAATAAACTCAAAGTACAAAGAAGGAAATAAAATTTTAAAATATCAGAGTATTGAAAATTGCAAAAGTTGGTTCTTTGAAAAAACTAAAAAAAAATTACTAAGTTCTAGCACAAATAAATGAGAGATGGTCAAATATTCCCTACTAGAAATTTAAAATGGAACAAAAAGTCAAATACAACTAAAATTTAAAAAGGAATAGAAGATATAATGTACTCATATAATTTAATGCCAAAAAATCTGAAATGATACTTTTCTAGACAAACATAATTTAGTAACACAGACTCAAGTGAATAATCCTAAACTCATCAAATAAATTGAATCAATTAAGTCACTTATCTATCAGCAAAGAAAATACTAGAATTCCTAACAAACATTAGGAATGTTTGTTCCTAAACATTCTAGGAACAAATAACCTAACCTAACCTAACTATTGCAGAGTACATAAAAAATAAACATAGGGAAAATATTCCTGAGAGAAGTTCCAATTCATTTTTAAAGTCTGAGATATGGCTCGGGGCCTGTGGCTCAAGTGGCTAAGACGCCAGCCACATACACCTAAGGTGGCGGGTTCGAATCCCCAGCCCCGGCCCGCCAAACAACAATGACGGCTGCAACCAAAATGGCCAGGCGTTGTGGCGGGCGCCTGTGGTCCCAGCTACTTGGGAGGCTGAGGCAGGAGCCTCACTTGAGCCCAGGAGTTGGAG